ATATATATATATATATATATTCAGTCCGGAAGGAATGGAAGAAATATACATGTATATATAGTATATAGCATATATCTCTGACACTACAATGTGCAACACCAGCAGATGGTATTTCATGAATGATTTAACATAAGATTCTATAGAATGTACAAACCTTGATGGATGCATTTGCTGCAATGTTACAAATGCCACCAAATATGTAATTCCTCTTCACTCCCACAACGAAAGGTGTCATTTCCTCATCTATGTGTGTCATCCATGGTGGAGAAACACAAATAAAATGTAAGGTCTATTTCCAAGAAAATGTGGCACTCAGAAAAAGTGGTTCATTAAATATAAATAATAATTAATATAATTAAATCAGGTTAAGATATTGCTTAATTGCAAATATTATTCAAAAAATAATATGTTTTCATCAATCACTATATATGGCATGAATCTCTTCCTTGGCATTATGAAAGCTTTATGGGATTATGACCAATATAGAGGCAGTGATGGCACAGTGCTGCCCGATCTGGTGGTAAGTTAGGCAGTCCGGCAACTAGATTGGTGGGGAAACATGGTGGTGCGGCGGCTTGATAAATAACATATGATTAATAATGGGAATTTATACTCATTATTATTGTTTTTATTTTTATTAAAGAATTAATCATCCTTAAATATACGTGGGCATTTAATTAGTTTAAAATTAATGATTTGACATGTGCCACATCATTTGAGACACAAATTTGGTACACAAATTGTGGTGTCCCTAACATTACTGTTCCAAGAAAATATGGCACTTAGAAAAAAGTGATTCATTAAGTAAATAATAATTAATATAATTAAATCAAACTGAGATATTACTTAATTGCAAATATTAAACTAAACAAAATAATGTATAAAAAATAAAAAAACAAAGTCCACAAAATAATTTAAAATAATTAATTACTATATATTAAGTAATTTATGAAGTTATTAAATATTTAAATACTAATTATTCACTAAAGAAATAATAATTAGAACATAATTATTAATTAAAGTAATTAAAAAGTGATAAGATATTACTTAAAAACAAAAAAGAAAATCTGATCAATAGAAATGGAGATCTAAACTTGAATCCAAGGAAGCGGGCACACTGACGTGGCTTTTAACCCACATTTGCTCATTTATATAGTAATTTGTTGAGCTTTATACATGGCTAAGGCCATCAAGTTGCACCAATAATGGGATACCGTCCCAAGGGAAATCACCTGAATGCTTTATTTTGAAAAAGAAAACAAAACATATAAATTATGTGCTAACCAGTTTGTAACGGTATTGTTGTTCACATACAATGATAGGGGAAGCAAAAGTTGGTTGTCTTAACAATAAAACCTGGTGGGCAATCACCAAAAGCCCATGTTTATTGCGGAAGCTCAGATATACATCAGAAAAGGCTAATTTCAGGTCTATTTCATCGGTCAATACTCCTATGTACTTCAAAAGAAACGGCCTATAACCAGAGTCACTAAGAATAAACACACGCAAGTCTACCTCAGCTTGAGCCATACTTCAACAGTTCCCACCTGAAGGGCTGGAACACGAAAAGAACTTCCGGTGTGCTTTTAAAGAGCAAGGCTACACAAACGCAGACAGCAGCAACGGCCACCATTGACAGCATTGCCGGCCTGTAGACTAGTGACCTTGTGTTGCCATAAGCTGGTTTCTGTGCGCATAACTTACAATGTCGCAGTATCACTTTCATTTCAATCTTTTCAGTTTCCAAGCTGGCTACTCTTGATGGTTTATACGCTTCAGATTGCTTCTGCTTGCCATTTCTGTCTAAGATAACACCAGGGATATCAAGCACCACTTGCCCGCTTTCTAATGTCTTGCTGATTTTCCTCTGGACAAGATGGACATAGGAGTAGCGGCTTTGGAGGCATGCATAATCATATGGTGTCAATCCTGTACTGTCTCGAGCATTTTTCCATGCTTCAATTCCCAACTAAAGAAAGAAGAGCGATATCAATATGATGAATGGATTATCTAACAATCTACAATTTAAAATCAGCCTGAAGTCAAAAGAATGTGCATGACAGTAGCAATCAACATGCTTGAAACTACAACAATCTAAAGAATCGCATTGTCATTGGTATACACTAAACACCAACAGAATTTAAAAAATCCAACAATGCCAACAAATATCTTCATAACGATTTAAAATGGACCCAAAAAAGGTTCATAAAAATTAATTACAGTCCGAACATGCGTGAAACAATAAACACAATGACAAGAGACACAAGTCAATTGTATGAGCAAAGGTCAAATGGATACTATATGCGATGGAGGTTGTAGCAAGCTCATAGCGATTTCTAGGTAGAATTAGAAATATAATATATAATTTTGATCAAGGAGAAATTACCTTTCCAGGATCATCAGTTAAGGCATCCAATACGTGCTCGTAGCCATCAGCACTGGCAGCAACATGAAGAGGAGTCAACCCCATGGGCCCAACTGCATCAGGTTTAAACAAGAAACTGTTGCCATCCCTGTCAACTTGTTGCTTCTGCTCCGATCCTGTTAAACCTTGATTTGGGATAAATTTTAACAAGAACTCTACCATAGATCTGCAATTTCTTTGCACAGCTCTGTGGAGGAGGCTCATATCCAATAACGCAAACTCAACGGAAGTATGTTCTCCAGCATCGACAGTACCCTCAAACAGAATGCCCAAGAGTTTCTTCACTACTACACACCAATCATGCTCAATCGAAAACTCCATAAGCAACCTGAACCTGCTAAAAGGAAATAGATCCAGGTTCAGATCCGAGTGACCAAGTCTAAACTTAGCTCGACTCCTATGGAGGAGCCAACCCAATTCATGTATAAAGTCCAAGGCTTGATTCTTGGCTTCCAATTTTTCAGCATCAGCACTTTCAGGCACCTCAATCTCATCCTCCAGCATACAAATTTCTGAACATACTTCCTGCTCTGCAACTATAAAGGGAAAGAAGCTGCTGCTGAGACCATGATCTTCAACCTGATAATAAAAAATTTGATTATAAAAATGAGAACTACATATTTCAAGCATTCTTCGGCAACAGAAACAAATGGTATATGCAGAGCATTCTTCTGTTAAGGCACTGTCTTGAAACTTTCTCTTTTTCCGTTTTAACCTTATGACACTTTTCCTTCTAGCTTCTTGTTTATAGCACTTCGAGTTGTTCGGTATATTCTTTTCAGACTTCTTTTGAATGCCCAGCTCCTCAATGCACTTTGGTTAATGTAATACGAAAATGTTTTATAAGCAAAATCTATAGAGGGATTCTGGACCAATTTTGTGAAAAATGGGTGGTTCAAAATGTACATTACAGAAGAAGGGGGAAGGGGAAAAAATTAAATTAGACATATGACAGAACCTCAATGAATCCTCGCCCAGTAACATCTGGTATAGAGCAGGAGAATTTGAGGCACTGCAGCTCATCATGCTCAACAGTTGTATGTACACCATCCATCATGTCATAACAAGTTTCTTGCACCAGATACTTCCCTTCTAGAGCACAGAGTAACCTGTCAAGAGCTACGGTTTAGTATTTTCCCAGTTATCCTGAAGGGTATTAATTTTGAAAAGCATCTAAAACTAAGAGAGGTCTACAAATCAGTGGGCTTATTGAAAACAAAGTAATGAGGCATGAACAAAAGATGAAGGAACCTTGTGGCGGAATGAGAAAGGTTAAAGCCTTTTACTACAAACTGAGCCCTCTCAGATACAGAGACTGCAATTGGTTTGATGTATGATATCCTGCAACTCTTATCGCTTTTAAGAGGTAAGGGTGTGTCTAAGACAACTTGACCTGCAGGACAGGCATAAGTGATCAAAATACTTTCTATTTCATAACATAATTTTTTTTGGTCAATCCCCATATGTATTAGAAAATGAATAAATGAATAACTAAATAGATCATGATTCACGACCAGCAACAATAAAGCATAATGAAAAACTAAAATAGAAAGATTTTTATAGACACTAAATACACGAGTGTGTACACACATACGGAGCCATATAGACTACATGTATAGATACATAGAAGGAGAGAGAGAGAGAGAGAGAGAGAGAGAGAGAGAGAGAGAGAGAGAGAGAGAGCACACACAAATGTATATATGAGATAGAGAGTGACA